CCCCCAAAACCCCAAAACCCCAAAACCCCGCATTGTGGTTCAAATATAGAACAAATTTATTGTAAATTTATAAAAATGGAGGACTCAAGAATGGAAAGTAGAAAAAATTTCTTCAAAATACAGATCAAGTGAAAGGAAAAATGCGAACAATTCATGGTGTCTTTGAGAAAATAATAAAAAACAGAAGTTGTTTCGTGCTTTTAGGGCCAAACGGGACCAAAATGCTAAGACGGAGGAGCAAAATTTGGCACAGAAAGTTCAGATAGAGTCAGCATATCAAAAAGTCGAGGAGAGTGAAGCCCTTGAAAGACTGGAGAAAATCCATCAGCATTTGGTCTTGATAGATGCAGAACAGATACGCCCTGGTAAGCAACTCGTTGATTATTGATATAATTTCCTATTGAGCCTGTTTTCTGACAATTCCTGTAGACTTTATTGATGCAGATATTGGAGACCTTGACTATCTTTTTGAGCACATTATTCCTAAAAATATTAATATTGGAAAGAAAATGATCCAAATTATTGCTTTATTGTGAAAAATACATGAAGATGGAATTGAATTAGGAGTTTTCTTAACAACATTAACTGAACATGAAGATATAATTCGTTTCCTTGATTCATGCTGTAAAAGCCTTTTAAACGAAGAAATGACTGATAACTGCCTCAGAATCTGACAAACTCTTTCCGTAATCTCTAAAGGTTTTGAAGATGAAATTATTGAAAGTAGAGGCTATCTCCAAGCTCTTACTCGATTTTGAAGTGAATTCTTACTAGAGCGAGAACAAGATAAAACCCAAGCCCTGGTGCTATTGAGAATATTAGAACCTATTTTTGACAAATTCTGTGTAGACTCCTTGGGAGAAATAGCTGATGCTGTTAGAGCCCTAGCACGATACGATTGGGCTATGAAACAATTTTTTAAGACTGATTCGAAGTAAGATCAATATACTCATTTTTAGAATACTTAAAGTGATGATTATCTGTCTGAATTTTACTCCAAACGGGGTATACAAATAAATTTCTGAATACTTTTGATCAGCTCATCAAATTTATTGATCCAGAGTGTTTAGAAATGCTGATAAGCAATGGGCTGCTGGAAGCATTGTTCACTCTTCTTCAAGGTAAACTCAAACCGGGTGACGAAGAGCGCCAAGATCTGAGGACAGTGGTCTATAGAATTATTAATATGATCATTTGTAAGGGCTGTGTCTATACCGAGCAGATTTACAGGAGTAAAGTAATGGTCCATATAGCACAAGTTCATGATGATTTTGGGCTAATCGAAACAGTACCTCTTAAGCTAAATCTTTTGCGTTATCTGCAGAGATATACCAAAATGCAGTATCTTTGTAGCAAAAATTTCATGGATAACCTCATAAAAACTCTGGATTTGTGAACAAATATCGATCAAACACAGTGGTGCTTAGAGGTTTTTAAAATAGCTATGGAGCTATCTCTTAACAACGAGATCCCATGATTTGAGAGCTTATGTAAAAAGTTTATCACTAAAATTTGAGAATCTCCAGTGGTCCTGAAATTAGATGAGTTGAGTTTTAATTCAAATGCAAAAATCGGCATTCTTTCCAGGTCCATTTTGGGATTTATAGAAAAAGCAAAAAGACAAGAATTAGAACTCAGTGAGAGCTTTTCCTTCTGTACATGGAGCAAGAGCAGGAGTGATTAATCTCTCATTTATTTTATAATAAAATTGATTCTATTGAATACTTTCCATTAGGGGTTTTGGGGTTTTGGGGTTTTGGGGTTTTGGGG